CACTCTCTCTCTCCCACTTTAGACACTTGAGGGTCATTTGCGGGCAATTTTGGGCACTTTGACAGTGGAGGAGGTGTATAGAGATAGGGATCAGTTCGCATCACTGGTGCGTGAAGTGGCGACTCCGGATGTGGGGCGGATGGGTATAGAGATCCTGTCGTTCACCATTAAGGACGTGTACGACAACGTGGAGTACTTGGCGTCTCTGGGAAAGGCGCGAACGGCTGCTGTGAAGCGGGACGCGAACGTAGGCGTGGCTCAGGCCGAGCGCGACGCCGGCATACGTGAGGCCGAGTGCGAGAAGTCGGCAATGGATGTGAAGTACGGCGCGAACACGAAGATCGAGGACTCGCACCGACTCTTTTTGCTACAAAAGGCACAGTTTGACAGCGAAGTGAACTCGAAGAAGGCTGAGGCACAGCTCTCTTATGAATTACAGGCCGCGAAAATGCAACAGAAGATCCGCAACGAAGAAATGGAAATCGATGTCGTCGAGAGGCACGTCACCCATCCATCACTTGATCCAACCCTCCCTTCACTTCCCTCCACTCTATTCGCACTTTAGAATCGAGTGAAGAGAAGAGTTGGTTCAAGTGTTTGAATGATGTTTATATGAAATGATTATTTCATTACTAATGTCTGTCATCTAAACATATAATAACTAATAATTATATGAATTACAGGCGAAAAGAGATTTCGGTGGAAGAGAAGGAAATATTACGTAAAGATAAAGAATTGATAGCAATGGTTAGACTACCGGCAGAAGCGGAGGCATCGAGAGTAGAGCTCATAGCACAGGGAAAGGCGAAACAGACTGTGGAAGCGAGTGTTGCTGAGGCGCAGAAGACTAAAATGATAGGAGCGGCCGATGCCTATGCTATTGAGGCCATTGGTAAAGCCGAGGCTGAGATGATGCGCATGAAAGCCGCCGCTTATAAACAATACGGAGAGGCGGCCATCCTTTCCTTAACACTCGAAGCCCTGCCAAAGGTTTGGGAGTCATATGTATTACTGTTATTCTGTATCTTTTTTTGCCACTTTCTCACAGATCGCTGCAGAAGTAGCGGCGCCTTTGGCCAAAACCGATGAAATCGTACTCATTAGTGGCTCTGATGGCGGTCTCACTAGTGATGTCACTCGACTCGTCTCACAGATACCCCCCACTCTTCACGCCCTAACTGGTGTCGATCTGTCAAAGGTTTGTGTATATCTATTTATGATTTGAATTAATTGTTAACAATTATGTAATGCTTTGTATTGATCCGTACTTTCGGAGGCACTCGTCGTAAAAGCCAT